ATATACAACAATGAAGTTGGAACACAATGAGAAAATTGGGATTGACCTTATTTTTTCATTTATTTTGTTTATTTTCACTTTTATTTGATCTCATCTAATAAATCTTATGGATTAGGGCAAGTTTGGATATTGTAATGTTTTGATATAGCCCAGCCTCCATCATTCATATGGATCATGATGATGATGATGATGATGATGAAATAGCAGCAGAAAGATTCTTTATTTTTCAAAAACTTGAGTTGATGATGAGTAACACCTCACTGTTGTGTGAACATTTTGCATAAGTAGTCAAGGCGACAGTTTGAAAATGATGCTTTTATTAAAAAATCGCATTTCATGGATGACACTCGTGTGTGTGTGTGTGTGTGTGTGTGTGTGTTGTCATATGATGTGGGTCCTCGCAGTCCACAGTTGTGTCTATTTAAACTTTGTGAACAAGATGTTCTATTGGCTCTCTGCCACGTTAGGAAGATGTGATTGGTCAGAGGAGACTCGTTTGTCTGGCTTTGAAATCAGAGAACAAAGAGAAGATTTACATGTGCACGCGTGTGTCTGCTGCGTGTTCCCCTGTACTTTATGTATGTGTGTAAAAATCTCTTGCCACACTAAAGGCATGTGCACATCAGCCTTTTATGTGTATACATGTGTATTAAAGCAGCTGTGTGTGTGTGTGTGTGTGTCTGAGTGTGTATGTGTGTGTGCCTTCTCCTCCCCCAACTGTTTGCCCTGTCAAGAGTGTGTAATGTGATATTTTCTTTGTGTTGGCCCATCCATCACTAACCACCAATCCTATTCACACAAGCTATTAACGAACTTTATTCCCCGCTCAGCACAGCTTTCACATTCATGGTTGGTTGTTGACCGGCAGTTGACTGGAACACAGTGTATTAAAACTGGATTGTGTTATTGTGATGTCTGGGCACTGATACATGGATAGAGATCATTTTACAAGAACACAGGTTGGTTAAAATTAAAAATGGTACGTTCCCATTGAAGTAGGTCCGAACTTCATGGCTGCATGAGCTTGTCCTGGATGTGTAGTTACAGATGAGGCTGTCCTTGAGTGAGAGGTAGGGACAGACTGAGACAGACACATGCAAAGATATAAACAGAGTGAGCACAAGCTGCAGAACGACAGAGTGAAGGTGTGAGGTGTCACTGGGTGTGTAATTCACCCCTCGAGGCTACGTGAAAAGTCTGAGCAGACAAGAACAACAGTGCAGCTGGAGACTGTGTTTTGCAGGAGTCGGTTGTGATATGGCTAAAATATCCTTCCTCTTTCCCTTTTGCTATTCCTCCCCAGCCTCTCCACACCCTTCAGTGAAAAAAACGAAAAAGATTGAGCTCTTTGAATAAAGAGAGAGAGAGCGACACCCGAGGCTGAAGTTATTTATTGCGCAACGTTCCGATAAAAGGAATACAAACTAAAAAGTGCATTTCAAGCATCCATGGAATTTATGGAATCTATGGACTCCTCACATGTGGGTTCTCAGAACATGCCAGTTCATATTAGGTGCACATATTTAGAAAAGAGGAGGAAAGTTGGTAAATCCAGGCAGAGTGTGGTTGAAAAGAAACCATGGGTTTGAAAAAAGTGACGATTCTGATTACTGGCTGTGAAGAAGTGAGATAGAAACTTTTGGGAAGTAAGTTTAAAGGCTTTCATTCGCAAAGTGAGATGAGAAGATCGATACCAACCCTGAAACAATGTGGTAAAAATGTACAAAATATAAAAGGCTTGGAACCGGGGAGACTAAAATCCATCTTTGCAGCACCGGTGAACCTCATTGATTAACACACTGATTAAAAAAAAGTCACAGGAAGCCTTTTCTCATCAGCTGAGGATCATCAGTGTCTAAACGATATTACGCAAAAACTACTCAACTGATTTCCAAATACCATGGAACTCAGTTGAGTAATCTTTGCGTGGGGCATCACTAAAGGAACACTCAATAATATTTTGGTGAGGATACAGATGTGGAGACGAGTGAATCCAGGAACTTTCTTTAACATTACAACGAGGGCGTTTTTCAAGATATCTGTTGATTACTCAGAGAACAATTCCCGGTAATCAGGCGTCTTTAGTTGACTGAAGTTTGTGAGAGTTTGAAGTTTGGTGCAGATCCAAATCTAGATCTAATGAATTTAAATGTGGTTTCTGAAGGGGACTGAGGTTTGTGCTCCGAGCGTCAGTCTAGTTCAGTCTTGTGGCAGAGATATTGACCAACAATGCTGTAGCTAAAAATAAGTAATGTTTATTTAATCATTATTCCCAAATCAAACTGCTGTTGTGTTTGCCAACGAAGCAAGAACATCACTCATCACACACTCACACACACACACACAC